CTCCCTTGACGTGCCAAGTCACGTTCCACCTCCTTGAGCGCCATTCCGAATGAGTGTCGTGTCACAGCGGCGCAGTTCGCGTCACATCACCAGGCGTCACATGATATTGGTCGTCCAAACCACTGGTCCCAAAGCACTGCGGACAACCTCATGAGGCATGGTGTCAGGTGGTATGGTGGTCCTCAAACCTGCGGTATGTTCAAAACTGCCATGATGGTTGTATGGCTATGGTGTCAGGTTTCCAGTCAGTCAGTTCTGCCGGTATCAGTTCTGCCGCACACGAAGTGCGGAGGCGGAAACGGCGAAGACTTCTCCTGCGCTTTCCGTGGCAGCCGTGGTTCGTGGTGAGGCGCAGTGTTCGCGCTTTCCGTCGCCCGCGCTACGAGCTGCGCAATTCGCCGCTGTTCGGACTTGGTTTTGTCCGCATGCGACCTGCTCGACAGGACCATTCTGGAGTGATGGCACAAAAGACAAAAAGGAGTCCTCCCTAGCGCTTCCAAGGGGCGCCCAATGGAGACCTGTAAGTAGTGTGGAGATATCCTTTGGTGACCCCGAACGGAAGCAGCTGGTCCAGCGTTCCATGCCTAGGAAACATGAGCGACGTTTGCAGCCGATTCATTCAAGCGATTTTTCATGATTTTTTCACACTCTGTCTTTGAGAAGATTCTTATGCGTCACTGCGTATACCCGGTGTTTATTCACCCCTCCGGCTGATGGTTGTGGGACATATATGTGGGCTACCGTGATTGACCAGAGCAGGGACCACGCACAAGAAGGCGCACCACTTGCGCTTTGTGACAGGTGGCCGAAGCGCTTCCGAGTGCGATCGACAGTGCCTGCCGGCCCCTGGGCATAGCAATGGCGTTGATGTGCTGGGCCCCCGAAAAAAGGTAGACGCCGTAGACGCCAAGACTCGACCATCGAGATGGAGGTGCCCCGCCGATCATGACGATTGTTTCTATCGATTGTCCAAGGGGCTTGAGAGAGTTTCGTGGACCCCGCGCATTTTGATCCCCTGTGGAAGATCTCTCCAAAAATGAGACCATCGAACCCAATTTGGGCCGGGGAAACGTCTCCGTTTGTCTCCGTATCCCTTCGGCTTTGATGCCCGTGGGATGGTTGACACGTCTTTGGTTGTTCGCCCATTTCGGGAACAACATGGGCGCGGCCCAACGAAATCGTGCTTCGACCCATTCTTCTTCTATCGCAGCACCTCGAGGTGAAGACGAGGGCACGGCCGCAAGGCCGGATCGGGATGAGCGGAGCGCTGCGCAGGGAACGGCGAGGGTTCTGCTCCAGGACCAGACAGACATGGACACTTCGAAGATCGAACAAGTGAATCTGCCCTCCACTGTAGATCTTGACATGACATACTAGTTCTTCGACTCCAGCATTTTGCATGGATTGTGATCCTGATACTGATCCTCATTGGGTCCACCAAAAGCTCAGTGCATGCTTTGAAACGTTGGTCATTCAGTTGTCGCAACAGCTCTCCACTTTGTTGTCCTGCACCATCCAATGAATGTCCAATGGACATCCCTTAGTGTAGGGTAGCCGATCCGACAACAGTATTTGTTTCCTTGTAGGATGACACCTAGAACTCGGTCGTCGGCACGGGCTGGGGAAGGACCAGCGACCAACTGGCTCGCTGGTTGCGAGGAAAGACTGGAAGACTCTTGGATGCGAATTCATGAAGTTTGGAGGTATGAGAATGGGTCCAGAACTCATGGGAGTCCTTCTCCCATCGGCTTGTGGGACTATTTGGAACGTCTCCTCTCCTGTATGCTTGGGGGCGACTCACCTCAGTGTCGATTTTGAACAGAAGGACTGCTGTGAGTTTGAAGTGGTCAAAGATCTACGGACGGGCCAAAGTATGGTTTTGCGGCCAAGCTGAACCATCCCTCTAACTCCGAAGAGAAGCCTCGCTTCCATTCCAGTGGACCCTGTCTGGGGATGCTTTGGGATGCTAATGGTTGGTTCGCTGCAAGGGTGAGGTGGTGGGTGGCTACATCTAGTCTAGTGGGTCCATCTTGTCTGGACTTTTAACTTTTGGGCTTCACAACCGCCCCAAAACCAAACAACATCATTTTGTCCTATCACTTGGGCTGCTTCAACTGCTCAGCTCTTAGGACACTTCCGGCAGGTCCCTCCTTCATTCTTCTTCCTTGCCACGCTCCGCCTCTGTGGATCCTGTTGGGCAGCCCCAGGTGCTGCTCTGCTCCGCAAGCGTGCCAAATGGTCTCAGGAGCCGGATTTCGACCGAAACAACCCGTGGGGCGGAGGCCGAGGGAGGTGACAGGTGACACACGTACGACCAAGCGCGCGCGTTTTCTCGCGCGAGCTGCTCGAAACTGGACGGCTGGGGCCAACCATTCTGCTCCTGGAACCTCGGCAATCCGGAGGGCAACCAGAAGCCACGACTTGTTGCCATTCTCCTCTCTGGGCCGGTGGATCACGGCGTGACACGTACGCGTCGATCGTGACACGTTGTTCCGGTGGGTCCTTCCGGGTCGATCGAGGAGCATCGCAGAGGTCACCGTGGAGCATCGCTTACCAGGACCCTCCAAGAGGTCCCCAAATGAAACCTGAGCCTAACAACCCTCCAAAGGAGACCTGTTGGAGGGTGCTGGTATAAGATCTGAAGTGTTTTTGTCTGTTTGTTTTCTTAAGGTTTTCTTATTGGGGATTCTTATTGCTCGGTGAACATCATAGCGTCATCCCCAACCCAATTTGTTGGTGATCTATTGGCTGCGGTGGAGACTGTGTCGAACATCTTGGCAGGTAGAGCGACATGCCATTTCGAGTAGCATGAGGCAGCCGGGGCTCCCACAGTGGAGATCTTTGGAAGGTGTCCCTTGGACAAGTGGTGGGACACAATGAAAGGTAGTTGTCGTCCCATGATTTGGGACAGTCGTGTTGAATGCTCAGGTCACGTGTCTGTTTGTTTGGACTCTGGGTGCAGCGAGGGCCATCCCAGAATCCCCAAAGTAAATGAGCAGTCCCCCTCTGGACCACTTCCAAAGGTTTGTGAACCGAAAAACGGAGCGGCGAACTGGAAGAAAGAGCTGCTATGACACCGACTTCTACTGAGGTTCAAATGAATTGGGCCAGAAGGAGAATCTTGGCCTTTCGAGGCCATGCCATCCACTTCCATGATGATTCTAGGGAGTGTAAGCCTTTGCCGTTCAATCAGCCAGTTGATCATCGTATCGATCATTTTCTTCCTAATTGCAATCTTGCCACGTCCAAGTAATGTCCACCTTTGAGCTTGTTCTACTTGACCTCCCGTCTTTTTGCGACGAGTCCTGGACGAGCCGAGAAATCCGTCCCCAAAAAACATCTCCCACAATGACCAAAAGGATCCAAACGGCCTTTTCCGTTGACCACTGTCCTCTGGTCTTAGCACGATTCACTGTCCTATGGGTCGTAAGGCTCCTGTCAACCGTCAAGGCTATTAGGCCATGGTACTTCCTCAGGTCCAAGACTTGTAGCCTTGGCCAGACTGGAGGCCGGAAGGGGCGGGGGGTCGTTTCGACTTGTTCATTTTCTGGCATGGCGGGTATTGGGAGGACTATGAAGACCCAAAGCAGCCACATGATGCTTGTTGAAGCACGAAAACTGCCAGAAGAGGGTTGAGAAGATTGTGTTGCGGAATGCACTGGTTGCTTTTGTCAGCCAGGGCATTGCTCTCTTCCGCAACGGAGTGGAGTACATGTGTCCACCTTTCTTCTCAAATCCCAAGTGCTGGTTTATACGGGGGGCTTGCCGAAACGCGAAGCGGAGCCAACTTTTGATGTAGTTTCTCCAAGGATTCACGTCTCACAGGGCCGGCGATGCGCCAAAGATACACTCTTCTGATTTCAGACACAGAATTGTACCGTGGGTGTTTGGGCAAGTTGTCTCAGCTTGTTCCTCTTTTGCAAGGAAAGGCTTTCTTGACAGAGGGCAACCGGCCCAGAGAGTTCTGGACCCCTCCTAGAGGGAGTATTTCTCACCCTGGGCCGGTGCACAGGGTTCCACTCTGAGGTGTGCAGGTCGCAGCGTCGCAAGCTCTGCAGCCATTACAGTGCTCATGAAAGCATGAATGGTTGTTTTGGGCAAGCATGATAGGTGTTTGGGCAGGATGGACCCCTCCCCGTGTGCATCGCGCATGTCTTTACAGACCTGCTCTCATCACTGCCTTTAGCAGCCTTGTTTGGTGGAGTTGACCTATTCCGAGTAGGGATTGTAACCAACTTCCTCAAGTCGACTAAAGTACTCCCCGACATCCAGTCTTCAACCACCCGACGACCGTGAGTTGAAGCTTCGTGAGCCGTGGGTGAGCTACGGTCTCGCATGGTGCTTCCAGCCACTGCCACGCAAAAGGGCTACTGGCAATGTAACTCGGTGGCTACTGAGTGCATGCTTGAAGTATTTTCCATGACTCATTGAATCCTGAAGAAAGGGGCCTATGATGATGGCAGTGATGATGGCCACCACTTTCAACATTTTTCAACCAATGAGTATAGGTGGAAAAGGGAAGGGTACAAACTCGCAGACTCGCAACTCCGTCCATTCTCAGACTGATAGTTGGCGCTTTTTTTTCGACGCCGAAAAACTGACTCCAGGGGTAGGAACAACCCGAAGCCAGAACCAAGAGAAGCCATGAGCCCATGAGGTGTTCTTATATAGTGCATCCATGTGAACACAACTTCTAGGATTCTTTGCCTCCATGTTTCTACATGATCTCGAGCAGGACCAATTGCGAGACACTTCCATGTTTGGACCAACGACAACGGCCCAGCACCTTTTTTCCCAAATCTCCCGGAAGTCTTGGAGCAGGTTGAACCGTTGAACCTTGGGACAAGGCAAATTCTCTGGGTCTCAGGTCCGGTCCTGTCATCGCCTCTTGAAAGGTCGTGAAACCAGCCCACCCGTGTCCACCCGAGACGCCGAGGCGACCTCGGAAGTGGCAGCTGGATTGACTTCCAGTGGCCCTTCTCGGCTGCTCGGCGTCGAGAAGACGCTCGTGGGTGGTTCTGGCGCTCGTTGTCACATCGACGCTGTCATGGTCTGGTGGCGATGGAGACGCTTTGAAAAAGGAATGGACACCGCAGCTGGAAGCAGGCAAGCGGACCGTGCTTTTTGGTTCTGTGTTTGGGGGGTTTGGAACGGGTATATAGTCGCAATTGTTTGAAATATAGTGAGGTTTTGATTGGTTTCTGCTTGGCAAGGAAGAACTGAATACCATACAGCCGCAGGAATTCATTCAGGAAATACTGGTCCTTCAATTTTGGACCGCGGAATCACTGGCTTTTTGACATGCTCGGCGGGTTCTCGCGACCGTTGATTGACCCACAGCCAGTTGAGTCCACGCCACTTCAGGCGGAGATCCAATGTCGGACTCCCGGGCTCCCTCGGGGGTCCGCCAGTGTGCAGTATGCAGTCTGCAAACCTTCCCCTCGTAAAGAGGGGACCGTCCCCTCTCCGTCCACTCAAAGGGTTTTGTTTGGCACCAGAGCATGCTGAGCAAGCACCTCTTCAGAGGCAACTCATCCTTCAAAGCTGTTGGCTGGAGGGTTCATCAGCTTTTCACCACACCAGTCGGCACCTTCGTCACCGGTCGACTCATGCTCCTCTTCGGATGCAGCCGAAGCCTGAGCGTTTCGCGGAAGCGCCGCGTCGCCCTGGCGCGTGCGGATCGCCCCCCTTTGGCGTCGACGTGCGTCTGCCGTGCTCTCCAAGGCCATCCTGGAACAGGCGGAGACTCGGGAGATGGGAAAGCATCGGATTGGTTGTTGGGGCCCTAGGGGACGCTGAAACCATGGGTTTTCACTCCAAAACCTATTATATATGGGTTTCCTCTGCAGATGATCCCTTATCCCTTGGACAGACACGGTCTGCGTCTCCTCAGGTGGTTTTCAACGGTGGCCCGGACCACCTCATAGGTTCAGTGCTCTGGTGTTGCTCTGTAACTGTAGTTTTCTTTTGACATTTCTTTTCATTAGGGCAATGACGTGTGGATTGCATATCCCAGACGCTCCATGTATGGTATATATGCCTACATTGGGGTGGTTTGAGGGGTCAATGTAGGCATATATGGCATACATAGAGCGTCTGGGTATGTCTGGGTATTATTCTTTATGACATTCAGAGTTATTCTTCCTCCTTGTCGTCCTGGAGGGTCCAGTGTTTGGATTCAAGAATCCAGCATATAGAGGAGCCCTGACTAGAATGTTCAGAGCGCCTATGGCCGCCCAAAGGTGTGATACCACAGTTCATTTTTCAGGGCTGTTGGGCAGAGGAGTACTGGAATGCCGCAAATATATACTGTACTGGAATGCTGCAAATATATACTGTACAGTACAGATCAGTACAGTATGGATATATTATATACTACCCACAAGTAGTGTAGGCTAGTCTAGTAGTCTATTGGAGACCCATTGGCCCATTGGAAGGTGCTGGTGTGAGTTGAATGCCAAGTCAGGTGACCTTCCAATTCAAGTGCGGTTGGAGTGCACAACAGTACATACTCCTATAGTCATTGAGACCATTCTAAGCAAGATGACGCCAATCGTCAAGTTCACACTAAGGCAAGGTCTCTTTGACTCAGACATCATTGTGGCCGAAAAGGAGTGTTTTGGAAAAGTACACTTCCCAAGCATCAAGGAGGAAAAACATGCAAATATGGGAGTATTGGAGGAGCAAAACCTCAAGCCATAAACTGCATGGTTGATGCACGTTCCAGGCTGTTCTCGCCAATTTGTTGACTTGCACCAGATGTACGTGGGTTTTGGACCCTTCAGTTGGAGGCCAGTCCCACTGGAGGTGTCGATGCAGGATTGCACCTCCAGGAAGAATGGTCATCCTGAAAACGTATGACGTATGATGCATCAGACGTATGACGAATGATGTTGCTGGTCCAATGTGCCAACAGAGGTTAAGCGACCTTATAGGACCCTACTGGGGTACCCAACTGGGATAGTCTAGTTCGGGTCATTCAACCTCTGTTGGTGTGCCTGAAACCCAATCGGGGGCCGAATCGGTGGCCGCAGCGGACCTCGGACCTCGACCGGACCTACCTGACCAGTCCTGACCTCCCCAGCACGGAAAGAGTGGGTGATAGACACCCCTGATAGCTGATAGCTGATAGACAGGTCTTTTCCTTCAACATCGCCCGAAATCGCTGGTCCTCCGTCAGGCCTTTTGCCAGGGCTGGTCCTCCGTGGACTTCCGCCGAGGTGCTCCGAACTGCTCCGAACTGCTAGGTCGTCGGTGTCGGGGAGCCGACGCAAAAGAGGTCGGGTCTCCAGAGATGGTGAGGTGTGAGATCTGCCTGGAGACCCAGATCAAGCAAGAGGTTATAGATAAAGGTTGATTATACAAGCCATTCCACTCACGTTGACATGTACAGGTCGATTTACTGAAGGGCGTTTGGGTCCGGTTTTGTTCCTCCTGTTTTTCAGACTCGCCCGCGAGCAGCTTGATTCAACCCAGATCACGAGATTCCATGTCATAAACCACAGTTTGGGGGCTTGAACCATTCAAATCCTGAGGGGGAACCTCAGAGTCTGAGAATGTTGATCAATGGCATTACCCAGATGCTCCATGTATGCCATATATGCCTACATTGACCCCTCAAACCACCCCAATGTAGGCATATACCATACATGGAGCGTCTGGGTTAGACAATGATGTTTTGACATCTTTTTCAGTCCTGCCGGTGTACGCTCTCGATGTTTCATGGTTCCCACCCTGATTCAGGTGGACATGACTACCGCGTGACCTTGGGCACGGCCAGCCGTCTTCAGGACGTTTCGTGCTGGGAACCGGATATGGAACAACCCCTCTGCCCAACATGCCTCGCGCTTCCAAGGGGTGTCCCATGGTGTCTCATTAGAGTCATTAGAGACCAAAAAGCCTAAAAAAATTATACCAGCGTAGACCCCAAACAGAGCAATGTTCAAAAATGAGATCTCCGAACAATATGGCCAGCAGTATTTCCTAGAGGAAGAAAACTGTAGTCCACCATGTAGACGCACATACAAGATTCAAAGGGAAAGCATCAAATTTCTGTTTTTCATTGACTTTACAATGGGACGCCGTACAAGGGCTAAAACATGAAATTTATGGATCCAGGTTGTGACTCAGAGCATCCAGAGCTTACTGGGAGACAAGTGGGAGACAAGTGT